TAAGTCATGTGTAGGGTAATTCTTCTCGTGTATTTTCAACTGACGTGAGCCATAAGCTACCACTTTCCCCTCTTGCATCAACACACAACCCAAACCCTCTCGTGAGGCATCACAATAAACCGCATAACCCAACCCTCTCTCCGAAATAATAAAAACCGGAGTAGTGGTCAATCTAACCTTCAACTCTTGGAACGACTTTTCGCAAGTCTCACCCCACAGAAACTTGACCCCTTTTCGCGTCAACCTAGTCAACGGCGAAGCTAGCCTGGAGAAATCTTTCACAAACCGGCAGTAATACCCAGCTAATCCCAGAAAACTGCGGATCTCAAAAACGCTCTTAGGCTGTGTCCAATCCTGCACTACCTCAATCTTGGATGTATCAACAGACACCCCTTCCCCGGATACCATATGGCCTAAGAATTTGACCTCTCCTAGCCATAACTCACACTTCCTAAACTTGGCATACAACCTATGGGCTCTAAGCAATTCAAGCACCACTCTCAAGTGTTCCTCGTGCACCTCCTCAGAAGGCGAATAGATAAGAATGTCGTCCACGAAAACGACTACAAATCGATCTAAAAATTCCCGGAAGATCCAGTTCATCAAGTCCATAAAGACTGCTGGTGCATTGGTAAGCCCGAATGGCATCACCAGAAACTCATAATGGCCATACTGCGTACGGAATGCCGTCTTTGGAATATCCTCCTCCCTGACCCTCAACTGGTGGTAACCCGATCTCAAGTCTATCTTAGAGAAACAACGGGAATCCTTCAACTGGTCAAACAAATCATCTATACGGGGCATAGGGTACTTATTCTTAACCGTAGCCCGATTCAACCCTCGGTAGTCGATACACAATCTCAAGGCACCATCTTTCTTTTTAGCAAAGAGGGCCGGTGCTCCCCACGACGAAACACTAGAGCGAACAAAACCCTTATCTAGCAATTCCTGGAGCTGAATCTTTAACTCACTTAACTCGGCTGGGGCAAAACGATAAGGTGCCATAGAAATTGGCGCTGTGCCGGGCACTAAATCAATAGAGAACTCTATCTATCGGTGAGGTGGCAAACTAATGAGATCCTCGGGAAAAACATCCGAATACTCACAAACCACCCTCGGCAATACAATCTGGGTCTCATCACACTCACCACTCATAAAAGCTAGCAAGTAGACCACTAAGCTTATTCTGCCCTCGCGGATCATACATCGGTGGCAACACACTACCAACCTGATCCCCCAAGAAATGGAAACACTCCCCGCTCAAGGTACAAACTGTGACCCTCTGGCGGTAGCAATCAATAATAGCCCGGTATGACGATAGCCAATCCATACCCAAAATAACATCAAAACCCTTCATGGGCATGACAACAAAAGGAAAACGAAACCTATGGTCGGCGACCTCTATATCACAACCTCTAATACCTTGTTTTAAGATCAACTCACCACCAACAGGCGATACTATACATATAGGAGATGCTAACTATGCCAACTCCAATTCCAAAACAGATGCAAATGCAGCAGATACAAAAGAATGAGATACACCCGTATCAATCAATACACTAGCAACCGAGTTGCAAAACAAGAAGGTACCTCTCACAACTGACGGAGCAGGTACAAGATCCTGCACGGTAATAGCATACACACGCCCTGTAGGCCCCTGATCCACCTGCTCATCTCTAGTAGCAAAAGACTGCTGCACTGACTGGGATAACGAAGCTCCCGGATTAGCCCTCGAGGCTTGCACAGATTGAGCTGGCTGAAAACCCTGCGTCTGCCTAGAACCAGACGCGCTCGAAGTGGCACTCAACTGTGGGCAAACCTCTTCAGGTGCCCAGGCTGACCACACTGATAGCAAGACAAAGGGTGGCCCCTACCCTAACTCTGGCCCTGAGGTCTAGCTGAAGAAGAAGAAGCAGCTCGCTGACCCCCTCCCTTCTACGGGCAAATTGAAGACTTGTGACCGAACTGGCCACACGCAAAACAAGTCAACCCTTCCTGACTACCTCTCCCAGAGCCCGTACTCGGCACTAGAAAGGTCAATCTAGCCAAACCACCCTGAGACTGCTGAGGGTTAGGACCCCTCTGTCTCCTGCCGTCACCCTGACCATCTTGGCTCCTCTTGGAGCCTCTCTGCCCTTCATCCTCCTCCTGCATCATTATCTCCATATGAGCTGCAGCATCCACCAGACGTCTATACTCTCAAATAAAGGACCCTCTAACCCTCAACTTGAGTCCACGCCTCAACTTCCGCTCAAACTCTAAGCAACGGCGTTCCTCGGACGCCACAAGTTCAGGTGCTAACCTGGACAGACTAGTAAAAGTTTCCTCAAACTCGGCCACAGACAAACCCTGCTGCTTAAGCTGGCAAAACTGGTCCCTCAGCTTCTCCCTAGCAGCTGAAGATAGAAACTTCTCCTGGAAGGTATTCACAAAAACCTCTCATGCACTCCTAACGTTGCCCTTCTCGTACTTCCACCATTGACCCGCATCTCCCTTCAGTTGGAAGGATGCCAAGGTCACCTTTAGAGCCCCGTCCTCAATGCCAAGCGTCTCGAATGTCTTCTTCATCTGTTCCAACCACTCGTCATCCTTAAGTGGCTCTTTCGGATCCCCAACAAACTCATCTAGATTAGACCAAAAGAACTCCCTCTTCAAAAAGGAAGGCCCTTCATCAACAACCTGGGCCTAAACTTGATTCTCAGCTCTGAGAATGCCCATAAACTCCCTCAAAGCTTCGGCTATCCCACGGGCTAAAGCGCCCATAGCTTGCTGACCTGCTGGCTCGGCCATATTCCCCTGACCAATACCCTCCTGCTGCGTCGGAATATCATCCGGTAAAGGCATCTCCTGCCTACCACGCCTACCCTGTCTACCTCCACGTCCTCATCCTCGTCCTGACATCCTAATAAAAGTAACGAAGAACATTAGCACATTCACAAATGTGCCGAAGCTATAACACTCGTGTCTTAATGCACGGACAACTGTAATTCACTCCACGTATCACGTCCTAATGCATGGACAATTGTAATTCACTCCACGTAAGCACATAATCACATAAGCAATTACGAATTTCATTTCCGGATAATGACAATCCCGAGGCGTTAATAGAGTTCCGGTTAGAAACAGCATTGATCAAGTGCTTTTCCAACAAGACTCCCAGAAACCCAAGGATCCAATCAACATCCTAGAAACTACATTCCATACCCACATAGTCACATAAACATGTTATCATATAAGCACATAACACTACATCTAAGTCTCTCTGAAGCGAGACAAACCCATTGTGATCCTAATCACTTCCCACGTACCCAAAGTATTCGAACCCGGTAAGCTCTGATACCAAGTTGTAACGCTCTCAAAAAAATACATAAAATCCATCACATTAGACATGCATTGATACAAAAGAAACCAACCATTTCTATTCATCAGAGTAGTTCTTACAACAGTATTACATGTTAACCACAAAAGCAAATGCCCTATGGGCTTACAGCTTTCCAAGTCAACACCTGGTTACACAAAAGAAGAGTACTAATTCTATATAAAATAAACCATTGGCTTGATATACATGTAATACAAACAAAATAATCAAAAAAAGTCTTCAACTCTCATCATCATCCAAGCTATGTCCTTGGGGGTAGCATACTACCTGTACCTGAAAATAATGTCCCATATAGGTTGAGCCAACGCCCAGTAGAGATATGCTAAACACAGTATGAGCAATAACTAAGATATTAGCAGTTGATAAATGTTCAAATTCCATAAATCAATTCATAACCCATTTCCATTTCATGACCACTGTGTTCATGTTTTATTCCATTTTCCATTTCTTATCAATTCCACAATTTACATCAACGGCTCAAAACCTGGCCAACTACTTATATGAGACAGTGACTCATATTAAACGTTTCCCATTTTACAATAGATAAACATACTAGTTGTATCAACATCTCAACAGATAAGCATACAAACTGTATCCACATTTCAACAGATAAGCATATTAGCTATATCAACACTTCCAAAGATAAGCATATGAGCTGCATCAATCACGTTAACTGACAAGCATATGAGTTGTATCAGTGGAGTCCATCCCCTATCTCCTCCCAAACAACATCCGATTTAGAGGTCCATCCCCTATTTTCCCCCAAACCATGGAGTACATCTCATATCTCCTCCCCTACACACAAAACGTATATACACAAAGGTCATATACACAATCAATCAATACATTACGTTAATGTATTCTATCAACCGTCACACTCTATGACATATCCAATTGACTAGTTTTAGTTTGCCTAATCATCATGCATTGTCTACAACAATCAAAACAACCCTCCACCGGTAGCCCAAGCAATTATTTCTAAACAGATAATAAAAGCTCCAATAGATAAAATATCAATATTTTCAAAAGTGAGTGATTAATAAATCCAACTCCACTATTCTACTATATAATAAACCAATTTCATTATTTTCCAACTCAATTCCATATAATCACAACTTTTCCAAAATTAGGGTTTTCTACCCCATTTCCCAATATTGACCCAATAGTCTAAATATCAACAACCAATAACGATATCATTATTTGGAACCCACAATACACATTTTAGAATCAAAAGAACAAAATCCTCTTTTAACATTTTGAAACCCTAAGCCCCAAAATTACCCAACTTCAACACTTTATCAAAACAATCAAAAATCTATGTCAAAGACCATAAGAGTGAGTAGGAATCCCTACCTCAAAAGTTTTTTTAAATGGAACCAACCCGAGATCCCCTACCCCTAAAAAGTAAGTGGAAAGGGTATGGGACTAAAGCCAAGGCCTTTTTCCTTCCATCAAGAATACAAGTAACCATCAATACGCTTATAAGGTTTCAAAAATTTTCATTTGCTAATTCTTTGAGCAACTGTCATGGTCATAAAATGACTGCATTATATTATTTTAAGACTTATTTTGATACATAAACATGTTCTACATTCAAAAGGAAAGTTTTTTTTTAAATGTATCTTATTTTTCATATATCTTCCTCTTATAATGTAGACACATTATGTACTCTTGCTCTGTTCTTTTAAAGAACAACTGCAACAACATGTTCGTGTGCATGCAATGGAAGCAGTAATGGCTTGCTGGGAGATTGAGCAATCCCTACAAAGCTTAACAGGTATGTTCATTATTTATTCTTTCTAGATTTGTTCATTTCTCATATTTCTTGTGTACTCCAATAGATTCCAGGTTTCCCCAGAATTTGAAATCCTTTTTCCGCAGGCCAATTTTTACTTGCTTTCTTGTAATGATGTTGATTATCATACAAAATAGTATATGAGATAATTCATTTAGGCACAAACTCTTGTCGAGCAGTTGATTACTTATTGTGTGTGAGATAATTCCTATGTCAACTCCATTGAGAAGCATGAAGCAAAAAAAAACTATGATTAAAATTCCCACAAGCATCAATAGGCTTCGATTTTTAGATGCTCAAATCAACACTTCCATTACTCCTAAAATTATGTTGTGTTGCTACTTGATAGTGAATGCATTCTAATATGATCTACATAATAAAATACCTTTCAAAAAAAAATCCTTTTTGTAGCATAATTGCTGAATTTGCAGAAGGAAACTGGAAGTGTGGAATTGTTTTTCAACAGATGATTATTAATAATTAAACCCTCTGAGAACCAGCTTGAGGCTGGACAAATGAGGAAGCATATATAAGTGCTGCGAGAAAGTATTGAGATAAAGGTTTTGGGTGCAGTGCTGCACAATTTTTATATGCATGAGAATGCTGTATTAGCCCATAACACTTAGTGATATGAGTCCCTTGCTTCTGGACTACTTCATGTTCAATATTTTCCATTCTATCTGTAATTAACATTTCGAAGCCTTCAATGCTACTATCTATCTTCATGGATATAACCCACCCCAAAAAAAAATATCTTCATGGATATTTCTCATTACATTGTTTTTACTAGCAAATTCTCCTGTGTCTGGCATGCTAATATTATTTCTATTACTTATAGAGGAATTAGTGATTGCTTTAAAAAAATGTACTCTGCATGGTATCTATCTGATTCTTAAGCCTTTCCATATGACGGTTTATGACATTTCACAAGAAGCACCTGTAACTGAATACCGAGTGTGGCTGTGATGACCCTTGAGAACCATGATACATGCATATACATTTTTATAACACGGAATTGGTTACGTTTGATTTTTTTTTTTTGGTCTGACCAAATGTAGATCACTTGTCCTTATTGAGATAAATATACAATATCTAAAAAAAAAATTGTCAAAGGAACACCTATTGCTTTGTTTCTTCTGCAGATAAACCTGTTCTTATGGTAAAGTAGCAAGATTCAAGAATCAAAAGCATAATGAAAAATTATAAAATGGAATTGTACTTTACCATGTTGAACTCCATGCTGTCTAATCTTGAAATACTAAAGCAAATTCTGCTTAACATGGTATATGAACAGGTGTTTCTCCTGGAGAAGGCACAGGGGCAACAATGTCTGATGATGACGATGACCAAGTAGACAGTGACACAAACTTGTTTGATGGAAGTTTGGAGGGTGCTGACATCTTGGGTTTTGGTCCTCTCGTCCCAACAGAGAGTGAAAGATCCTTGATGGAGCGTGTGAGGCAAGAGCTGAAGCATGAACTGAAACAGGTGAGAGACAAATATTTGATTGTGGACACTTTTCTATACATATATTGCCGTCAACTAATATTTTTTTTCTTTTTTTTTAAATTTTTTTTATAGGGTTACAAGGAGAAAATCGTTGACATTAGGGAGGAAATCTTACGCAAGAGAAGGGCAGGAAAGCTCCCTGGTGATACCACTTCTATGTTGAAGGCTTGGTGGCAATCACATTCTAAGTGGCCGTACCCAACTGTAAGTTTTCATGATTGAGAAGCACAATGACCTTTGGCTTTGAATGGGTTGCTTTCGTGCTATTAGTTTCAAATTTGGTAGGTTAAAGCACTAATGGGTAAGCATGAAGCTCCAACTAACCATGGTTATTAGTTTGGACTTGTGCTAAAAGTTTCGGGCAAGTTTGCTCTATGTGCTCTCCATAAAATTAAAAGGACACTGAATTTGCCTTTTATTGTTTGGCTAAATTGATCTGTGATACTGCATGCTGCAAGAATTAAGTGGTGAGTTTGTTGATACTGCTTGCCGCAAGAATTAAGTGGTGAGTTTTTCTAAATCACCGTGGTTAATTGTTGTTCTTTCAGGAGGAAGACAAGGCAAGATTGGTCCAGGAAACAGGGTTGCAATTGAAACAGATAAATAATTGGTTCATTAATCAGAGGAAAAGGAATTGGCACAGCAATTCTTCCACTTCTACAGTCTTGAAGAGCAAGCGCAAAAGGTATGCCAATTCGAGCACATGTAATTTCATCATTTTATATTTGTCGAGGGCTTTCGCCAATCTTAGTTTGAAACAAAGTAATGCAGGTGACAACAGCGGTGATCGTTTCATGTGAGTGAAGGACAAATTCGTAATACAATCAACAATATATTTCTTCATGCCTCCACTCCAGTGATAATCCAGAATCAGTACATGTATCTACATAACAAAATAGGACAGTATAGTGCTGCTTGTGAACATTACAGCGTGCAAATGAGAGAATAGGTACACAGGTATGTATGCACAAAAGACTGCAGATGGTATACTGTATGTGCTGTGATATCATTAGGAAGTTCAATTATTAGAATATATGACAAAACTGAGTTGGGTAGCATCATATATTGGCGGTTCATGATTTTGTTTACGTTTTACATATCTGTGAGTAAGAATAGAGACGGGTTGTGGGTGTATAGTGTAATAATCTCTTTCATAGCAATCATAAATTTTCTAGCAGTGTTTAGTAATGTAGTCTCAATAGTTGTTGCATCTGTTGAATGTATTTAGTAGTTACAATATTTTTCTTCTTTCCCTTTTGGCATATTTTGACACTATTAGAAGTCGTCAAGTGTCCTCTTAGTCCAATTTTCCTTCATTGTAACAGTTGTATTTTTAGTTTGGGAAAAAATTGAGGCATCATGTCTGATATGGGTATGTGTATATATATATGGTTATGATAGGAAAGAGCGGATGATGTTAGTGATGGTGTTTTTTATTTGATGATGATGTTTATATAGGGAGCAAGGGTGAAGAAATTTTTTCATGGTGGGGTGTAAAAGTCTCAAGTTAAATCAGTGATGGTTAAATTGGAAATTTTCTTCATTGGATGTTAACATACCAGCAGGACCACAAGCTCATGTTCGGTCTACTTTTTTCCCTTAAATCCTTGACTGCAAAAATGGATCCAACAAGGTTTGTTTTGCTTCTTCAAGTTTTGAATTTCAAACATAATATGTTTGCGTGAGTATTTTGATTTCCCATAGAAATTAAAAAAATTTATTTGATTATATAAAACAGAAAATGTTTCGGTTGTGCAAAGAAAACTAATAATTTGACATGCATATACTGTTTGTTTTGGGATCCATAAGATGGTATTAGAAACACTATAACTGGTTCTAATGCCATATGTGATATGTTGATTCCTGTAACAGAAAACTCTTCCTGTATCATCTATTGGCCTTATTAACTCCATATTTATTCCTAGCTTGGAGATTGATTAAATTTTTGTTGAAATTGGCATATGTTTGTTAGACATATTTTGTTTGGTATTGGAGTCTCACACTGTAATAGATTCATGATTCATCACTTGTTTGGATTTGAAGCTAATTTTTTCATTGAGGTCCAAATGTTGTGCCAGACATTGTTTTTAATTATTTTGGTTGTGGTTGGTGTTCAATGATTGTATGATTTACATGGGACTCTTTTGGACAGTGCGGAGAAGGGAAATCTTGGGGTGCCTCAGTTACCAGGACAAGGGTGTTCATTTCACAGCTTTCGTACCAATACGTACAAACTCAGTTTTATGGAGAGTCCATCTGGTATGTTGAGCTCCCAAATATGGATGTGACTATCACGTGATGAGGTCATATGAAAGTCTTTGATAAGAAAACTTGTGTTCCCAGTGACATTAATTGATGTATTCAATGTAATGGCAACGTGATGCTGTGCATACTTTATTTTGTTTTCTATTCAACTTCCATTTTTATTTAACTTCCAAATAGATCGTTAAGGTACAGTGGTTTCTTGAATGAATTTCCATTGTTAATTTTATGTAACTTCGGTGTGATCTAAATGTTTTTAACCACACTTAAAAGGTGTGATCTAAATATTTTTAATCACACTTAAAAGGTGTGATCTAAATATTTTTAATCACACTTAAAAGGTGTGATCTAAATATTTTTAATCACACTTAAAAGGTGTGATCTAAATATTTTTAATCACACTTAAAAGGTGTGATCTAAATATTTTTAATCACACTTAAAAGGTGTGATCTAAATATTTTTAATCACACTTAAAAGGTGTGATCTAAATATTTTTAATCACACTTAAAAGGTGTGATCTAAATATTTTTAATCACACTTAAAAGGTGTGATCTAAATGTTTTTAATCACACTTAAAAGGTGTGATCTAAAGTTTTTAATCACACTTAAAAGGTGTGATCTAAATATTTTTAATCACACTTAAAAGGTGTGATCTAAATGTTTTTAATCACACTTAAAAGTTGTGATGAAAGCATTTTTTAATGACACTTAAAAAGTGTGATTAAAAATGACCATTTTTAATCACACTCCTAAAGACCACACTTTAATAAAACTTAAAAGGTGTGATTAAAAAACATACATCACACCAAAAAAGTGTGATCTTTATCTATATTTGTAGTAGTGGGAGCTCAAGGGAAGAAGATGAAGAAACTCAACGTGCTCCAAAACTCAATATTCTCGGATCAAAGTGTAGCCCTCGACGATCAACCCAACTTTTGCAAAGGCCGAAGGAAAAGAAAACACTCTAACTAGATCAAACCCTAGAGAGAAGGGAGTTTCAAGAGAGAGGAGCTCTCAAAATATCTTTTTAGAAAGTAAGAGAGAGAGAGAAAATGCAAAAAGTGATTTTAAAATGCCCAGCTGCCAACTGATATACGACATTCCCGCTCGAGCGGAGAACACAACGCTCGAGCGTCAAGAACAAAAAACTAGGTCCGCTCGAGCGTAATAAGGCCCGCTCCAGCGCCAAGTCACAAGAATAAAGTATATCCGCTCTAGCGCGAAAAGTATATCCGCTCGAGCGTAGATTTCCCCCTCCCAGAACTTACACCAAAAAGTACTACCCGCTCGAGCGCCAGAGTACCCGCTCGAGCGCGACCGCTCGAGCGTGAAGAAACCCGCTCGAGCGTGAAAAACATGCTTGCAGAAGTTCTGCAGAGCACCAGAATACTGGGGGTGTGCAATCTCCGCTCGAGCGCAAGAAGACCCGCTCGAGCGGACCTCCTAAAAACTGGGCAACAAAGAATTGAAACCAAAGCCTAACCAACCTGTAACAACTCTGCCCAATACATCCTAAAATTCAATCAAGCGGAATTAAAGGATGACAACAAGGTATACAACTACCAACATCACGGAACCCAAGTCCGGAAAACAATAAATACAGAAAGGTAAAACCGGAATCGCTATACAAAAGAGGAGTAAAAGGAGTATTGACACTTAACTAAAAAGAAAATGTTATGGACCTCAAATGAATTATTAAATTTTCTACCAAATTCTCACACAGGTGTGGACCCTTTGTGTAGGTCTCACAATCATGTGACAGGTTTGATAGAAAATTTGGTAATTCATTTGGGGTACTTAGCATAACTTTAACTAAAAACGCATGAGATTTATTGTCACAATTTCATGTGTAGGTATCAAAATGAGATTTTGTGCAAAGTGTAAAGATGTAAAGTGTAATTTACCCTTACTAGTAAGATTAAGACACGAATTAAAATAACTTTATAAATTCGAATCTAAAATCTCATTCAACTTGTTTGAAAGCTTGGTAGATAATAGCCACATGGATAAAAATATCCATAAAATAGCTCAAATATGAGGATTAGAATCTAGTGGAACATAAATCCAAATATATACGACTTATTAAAATATAAACATATCTTGTCGACTAATTGAATTATAAGTTTATGAAAGAGCATTTTTCGCTAAATCCCCCACAAAATATTGTACAACATTATTAGCAAGTTGGCCACCATGTTGTCTTTCTTGTGTGGATAGACTAATATTTCACATTGATGTATGAAGAAAAATAAAAATGAGTTAATTACTTAAAAGTTCTATTTATAAGTGTTATATTAGTTTAGATCTTATTTAAGATTTTTTAAACTAATAAGTCATATTTAATAAATTGAGAATGTTATCATTTTTTTTTCAATTTTTAAAACTAAGAATATTATTAAATTTGCATAGAAATATTTCAGATAATTGTTTCACTAATTGATGAAAAAAAAAACAGAGCATGAGATTAAGTGTTTTTGTCCTTCTACTTATTGGTTTGATTTAACTATCCAATAAAATCGAGAACATTATCAGTTTTTTTCATTTTTAAAGTTAAATTTTTTTTTTTTCAATTTTACACATCAATGTTCCATCATGATGCTTCTTATAAACACAAAATTTTCATTTTTGCATAAAAAAAAAAAAATTGTTTGGTTTCATTTTTCAGAATTCACTTTTGAGAAAATTTTACTTTTTGTTTTCCATAATTTTTTGTTTTCACTACTTTTTTTTTTAATATTTTAAGCATTTTTTTTTAATTTTTGACATACCTAACATAAATACACTTAAAAATTATAATATTTGTGAAAAAAATCTTTAAAAAATTCACTAAATACCAAAAATAAAAAAATGAAAATTTAGTACATTTTTCATATTTTTGTGTATTTATTAATTTATTAAAATATTTTTTCACAAATATTTTACTATTTACATACATCTAAGTAAGTTGCATTTAAAAAAAAAAATTGCTTAAAATTTTAAAAATATTTACTAAAAACAAAAAAAAAACACGAAAAAGTACTCAATTTCAAGAAAACTAACCAAACACACTGATTAGTTTTTTTTTTTTTTTTTTGAGATAATTTTTTTTAATTTTTTCAATTTGAAAGTTGATATTTTAAAGTTTTGAAAAATAAAATAAATGTCAAATTATCATGTTCCTTTATAGATAATCATAAATGATGAATAATTATTATTTGAAATGCAATTTTGATTATTAAAAATTTAATGGGATTTGAATGTCTAGAAATTTTTAATTTGGACTTAATGGAATATAAGTTTATAAATTAAGACTTGTGAGTAAAAAAAGAAAAAAAAAATGATATAAGGCAATATAAACTTGCAACTAAGTAAATTGTGGCTACGTATTTTGGATCATCTTGATAGACCTATCCTCATAAATTGAACTCGTGACGTTCAAGTTGCAAATTGGAATGGAACAATCTTATCACTATACCAAGACTTGCCCAATTGGGATCTACTGACAAAAATAAATCAAAATTTAAAATCCCATATTAATAAAAAATGAAAAACCTCAGGAGGAGAGGTAAGTATAATTTACCCTTAAATAATCATTTATTATTATTTTTGGTTTGTAAAACATTATGGTCATCCAATGTCGTTGTATATATTAACACTCTGTTTGTTTGGGCGAAAAATATTTTCTGAAAAATATTTTTCATATATTTTGATATGTGGTAAAATGAAAAACTAAAGTCTAACATAAAATATTTTTTATGGTCAACAAAAAACAAACTTATATGGTTAAAAAATATTTTTCACCTTCAAAAGGCGGAAACTCCACCACCACGAGGCCATACTCCCTTACCAATCACCATTCATTATGTCCCCTCATGTTTCTTAATCACCCAACATAAATAATCAACACTCAATATTCTCCATCAATCATACTGCCATAGAGTACCACGTGACTGTATTACTAAACTACCGAATAATCACCCAAAAAGTACACCCCGTTGTCGTTGTCATTGTTCATTAAATGTAATGTCTAATTAATTTTCTAAAAGCTTTATTGTGGCACGTATCACAATCTATTAGGCAAATATTTCTAAGGCAATGGTAGCTAATGAATTGTCTAAAAACTTCA